GATTCTCGCACTCGTCGCGAATAAAGTGGAAGCGAGTGTCGATGTGCTTGCTGCGTCCATGAAACACCGGGTGCTTTTACTGTCGTCTATATCACCGGCTAGATCACTGTCAGTAAAACTAACGAGTTCTTCAGCTCCTTGTCCTCTTTTGTACTGAATCCCGTAGCTCATTGTTTCCTTTATGTAACGAAGAATATGCTTTACCGCCTGCTGGTATATAGTGGTAGGCTGCTCCATGTAACGACTCACCATGCCAACTGCGTATGAGATATCGGGTCGAGTATGGGTCAGGTACCTAAGACACCCGATGACACGCCTATACTTGGTGGGATTCACAATGATTCCTTCCGCATCCTTTCTGAGTTGCAACTTTGCTTCCATTGGATACTTGCTCGGGTTGCAATCTACCATTTCGAACTGCTCCAACACCTTCTTTGCGTAAGCCGATTGCTTCACTGTGATGTGGTCTTTCTTTTGGTCTACCTCGATACCGAGGTAGTATGAGAGCAGCCCAAGATCACTCATCTCGAACTCCTTCATCATTTGCTTCTTGAATATCTCAACACCATCAATGCTGGATCCCGTTACAATCAAATCGTCAACGTACACACCGACGATGAGTACTTCTGTTCCGTGATTCCTCGTGTACATAGCCTGCTCTTGAGGACACTTCACGAAGCCTAGACTCATCATTCTCTTGTTAAGACAAGTGTTCCACGCCCTTGGTGCTTGGCGTAGTCCGTAGAGAGCTTTGGACAACTTGTACACCTTGTGCTCTTCATTCTTGACAATGAATCCTTCAGGTTGGGTGACGTAGACTTCTTCTTCAATATCATCATTGAGAAACGCCGACTTGACGTCCAGGTGGTGGATCTCTCACCCACGATGAGCTGCGAGGACAAGAATTAACCTGACGGTATCGAGGTTCGCCACCGGTGCAAAGGATTCCTCGAAGTCAACTCCTTGCTTCTGCACGTAACCTTTCGTCACCAATCTTGCTTTGTGCTTAAGGATGTTGCCTTCGCTGTCTCTTTTCAACTTGAACACCCATTTTAAGCCGATGAGCTTGTGACTGGGTGGCAAGTCGGTGAGCTCCCACGTCTTGTTCTTCGATGGACTCGAGCTCTTTTTGCATGCTTTATTCCACGCCTCCTCGTGATATGTTGTTGGCTCGTCGGTAGTGAGCAACAACAGTTCATCAAGATCCATCTCTACTAGTGGTGCTTCCGCATAAACCTCTGCAAGTGAGCGAAATTTCTTGGGAGCATCTTTGGTTGTGGGTCTTCCTGAGTTCTCTTGTTGTCATTGAGAGTTCGGCGTGACCCTTGGTGTCATTGGCGAGGTTGAGTCCGCTACTTCTCCGTCATCTTGTAAAATTCCGAACTCCATAGAATTTTGTATGAGCTCGTCATCATCGTTGCACCATTTCCACTTCTCCTCTTCAAACACCGCGCCTCTGCTCACAAGAATTTTCCTGCTTGGTGGATCGAGAAATTTGTGCGCCTTACTTCCGTCTTCGACGCCAAGATACACCATTGCTTGACTTCGATCATTGAGCTTCTTGAGATGTGGACCTGCAACCTTCACATGTGCGGTACCATGTGCGGTACATGCGGTACATCCAAACACTCTCAAGTGCTTCAAATGAGATCGCTTGCCGAACCATGCTTGGTAAGGGATACAATTTAATAGCACCTTTGTTGTCAAGCGGTTCAAGACATATATTGCATGCCGTACCGCCTCTCCCCAAAGGTTTGCCGAGACTTGCATGCTTTTAAGCAAGCTTCTCGCGGTGCCCATCACGGTGCGATTTCTCCTCTCCACCACACCATTTTGTTGAGGTGTGTACGATGTCGTGAGATGACGCTCGACTCCCTCTTCTTTGCAGAACTCCGCGAACTTCTGGGAAGTGAACTCGCCACCTCGATCAGTTCGTAAAGTCTTCAACTTGTACTCCGACGTGTTCTCCACGAGCTTCTTGAACTTCTTGAATGTTTCAAAAACTTCTATTTCTTTGAGCATGTACACCCACATCCAACGACTATAATCATCAACAAGTAAAAAGAAATACTTGTTACCTGCGAGTGATGTTGGGGTGATCGGACCACACATCCGCGTGCACAAGTTGTAGAGGATGCTTGGCTCGGAAGTTGGCTTGGGCAGGAAACGACAGTCTTGTTTGCTTTGAAAACATGCAACTCTCACACACTTGGTTAGGGTGTGTGATCTTAGGCAACCCTATGACCATCTCCTTATCCCCCATCATTTTGAGCGCATAAAAGTTTACATGCCCAAGTCGCGCATGCCATAACCAAGCCGGATCTGCTAGTGATGCTAATAGAGAAGCAGGTTGGCTTGTCTCGAGGGAAACCTTGTACAACCGATTTGACAATTTTTTCACCTTCATCAACAGGGCGCCATTTCGGTCGAACATCTTCAAGAATGAGCCGACTAAGGTGATCGTGTTGCCTTCTTCTGTCATCTGACCGAGACTTATGATATTACTTTTTAATTTCGGAATGTAATATACCTCGGTCATTAGACGTTGATCGCCATTTTTGCACACAAATAGGATGGTTCCCCGGCCCTTGATCTCGATGAGTGAGCCGTCTCCGAACTTCACATTTTCAGTGATATTCTCGTCGAGCTCATTGATCTTCTCTCGATGGCCTGTCATGTGGTTGCTTGCTCCATTGTTAAGATACCATACGTCGGTGTGATTATACTCCTCGCCACTTGCGAGGAGGTTCGCCTTGACTTTTTCTTCATTGAGTAACACACCCTCTGGTTCCTCTTTGGATGATTCTTGCGCGAACTCTTCGAGGTTTGTCTCCTCGTCTTCGGGCAAGGGATTCGCCACTCCCTCGGCAAACATCAACGCTGGCTCCTCGTCATGGAGGCTAGTAAGGTTCGCTTCCTCTTCGGGTTTCTTGCTACGACATTCGGACGCGTAGTGTCCGTACTTTTTACAATTGTAACACTTCACTGTGCTCGTCTTTGCGGGGTTTGATGTCTTCTTGTCGAGGTGAGCTTTCTCCACCTCGACCTTGCCCTCGTCCTCGCCCTTTGCCACGACCTCGGTTATCTCCACCGTTGCCGCCACTACTCGACGATCCGGAAGAAAAATCGGCTTCTCCGTTTTTCTTCATTCGTGACATCCATTCTGCATGCGTGAGCAAGAGGTGCTTCTCCTCCTCTCGGTCTTCGTAGCCGCGAAGTCTCTCTTCGTGCACTTTGAGACGACTGACGACCTCCTCAATGGTCATGTTTTTGAGGTCACCAAATTGCTTGATCGCGGTGACGATCTGCATGTATTTTTGTGGTACGGCTCGAAGGAACTTCTTGACGACGGAGATCTCCTCCATCTTCTCTCCCAACGAGCGGATGCCTGTCACTTCATGCGGATTGCCTCGAAGTGAGTCCTCAACGTCTGCACTTTCGCCTCCTTGACTCGCTCCACGCCGACGTGCATCGTCTTCAGTGTCTCCCATGCTAGCTTGGCGGAATCCTTCTCTGCCACCATGAGAAGAACGTCCTCCGGTAGCGCCGGTAGCGCTTGATAGATGGCAGCGAAAGCCATTCTATTCTTACGCTCTTCGACCTCGTCTTGCTCCACGGCGTCCCACACTCCTTGAGCTTGTAGGTTCACACGCATCTTCAACGCCTACACCGAGTAGTTACTTTTTGTGAGTAACGGATAAGAAAGCGTGACGTTCCCTTCGCTTCCGATCTTCGTTGCTGTCATATCTCCTATGATAGCTTTGCTCGGTGACGACATGTCCTTCAGCTTAGGCTCTGACATACCGAAACAAAAAGGAAACATACACAATAAAGGCAAGAGAATTAAGTGCCATCAATTTTGCCCCTATTTGAATTGATTACACATATTTGAATTTTGAATTTGAATTTAAGATTCAAATTCAAAATTAATGCTATTGTCATATCTTCTATATTTAATTCAAAATTAATGTTATTTATTCCACTAATCAACTCATGCCTATTATGAAGCCACTAATTGTGTAATCAATTTACTCGCAAAAATCTGCTTCTGAATCTATGTGATTCTCCTTAAAATTTCCCTATGATTTTCCCTGAGTTGTCTTTTTAGCTTTTTTTTTTTTCAATCTAAGAAGCAAAATATTAACTAGATAATGAAGAGAGTGCATCATGAGCTTATGAAGTTGCTTATTGGTCAAGACTAGTTGCCTAAATAACTCATCAACTCATTACGAGTACTTGCCTGCTAATTAAGGGCACTTGTTAGGACAATTTTTCGAGGCTACTCACTTTCATTTCGGGACCCTTCAGAGATTCTTAACTATTAGTAAATTAGAACCCAAACTCACTCGCTACACAAGTACTTACACTTAGTCCATTTATGTACTTTTTTTGCAATTTTGTAAGTCATCCAATTCTATAATGTTGACTTTTTATGCTCATATATAATAGAGTTATTGGTCTTGCTTGGGCATCATGCAATCTCAGGCTAGCCAAAACTCTACCATGCCAAAATTTGTCTCTGAATCTGTGTGATTCTCCTTAAAATCTCCCTCTGATTTCCTCTAAATTGTCTTTGTAGCTTGGTTTTTTTTTTTATCTAAGAAGCAAAACATTAACTGGATAATGAAGAGAGTGCATCCTGGGCATTTGAAATTGCTCATTCGTCAAGACTATTCGCCTTGACTTAGCAACTCATTAATAGTACCTGCCTGCTAATTAATGGTTCTTGTTAGGACAATTTGCTGAGGCTGCTAACTTTCATTTCGGAACCCTTCAGAGATTCTTAACTAGTAGTGAATTAGAACCCAATGCTGTTCGCTACAAAAAGTACTTACACTTGGTCCATTTATGTACTTTCTTTGCAATTTAGTAAGACACCCAATTCTATAATACCTTTTATTCTCGTATATAAATAGTGTTATTGGTCATGCTCGGGCATCATGAAATCTCAGGCTAGACAAAACTCTACCATTCCAAAATTTGTCTCTGAATTTATGTGATTTTCCTTAAAATCTTCCTCTGATTTCTTCTAAATTGTTTTTGTAGCTTGGTTTCTTTTTTAATCTATGAAGCAAAATATTAACTGGATAATAAAGAGGGTGCGTCATGGGCATTTAAAAATAAATAATAGAGCCAAAAAAAAAAAGAAATAAACTAGACATAAAAGATAGCAAAGATTATATTTGGCTTATCTAGCTTGAAGCCTAGTGAAAGAAAAAAGCACCGATAGATTTTATTAATATTCTTGCCCCTTCTAGTATAAAAATGATAATTTTTATATTCGCCACAGATTTGACACTCTAATAGCACCATTCAAAATAAAAAACCTGTTATGATAAATAATCATAATTTTGATCACCAGTGGGAAGAATTTGATACATTTTAATAGCTTGTGGAACAGCTCGGTTTGCTTTTGCTTTCAAACATGTTCAATCATATTTTCTTTACTAATTCACGTGAATAATGATTGAGGCCTAGCCTTTTATCTCATCATTTTTGCCCTTTTGGTATGATTTGTATCTCTATCAGGCTTTTGGCATCCTTTCACTAACAACGTTTGTTCCAACAGTATAAATCTAAGAGGTCAGTTCTCATCTATATTCTTTAGTTTTTAGGTTAAAAATGTATTCCACCACTAGTATATCAAGCACAATTTTAGTTCTCTTTTGATCCATACACACTCTAAAAAGTGCTACTTGAGTCATTGGTTTGGCTTGGATAACTTGGTTTATGTGGTTTGTGATTCTTTTGGTTTTGACTGTTTCTACTGTCAAGCATGATTCAAGAGTATGCAACTAACTCGTTGGCTATGTGTGCTTAAGGGTGAATGACGACCAATATTGAGAGCTCTCACACTTTAGAGAGAGAGAGAGAGAGAGATTTGTTAAGGTATGTGACAATATTGAGTTTATTCCCGCATTAAATAGTTGAAAGTACGTTAGTACAAAAATTATTTGTTTTTCGCTCATTGACTTAATAATTTTGGGTTTAAAATGAGTTTGTTCAAAGATGTTTTAAGCTTAGCTTTATACTTTCCATTCTCCCAACATAGATAAGTATCATTTAGAATTGCAAAACCCGTCGTTTTTCCAAAAGTTATGACTGTCTTAAACGTGGGTAACAAATTTCGTTGCAAATTGCCATACTTTTCATGATGGAAAGAGATTGACTGTTGCTTTCATTCTTATATTCTTCTTATATTGATGTATGTGACTCGTTATCTTCTCAGATAATATTTGAGCGCAGAAAAAAAGTAGAGGTGACTATGCCTTTTAAGGTTAATGATAGCTGATGTACTGTGCATACTTTTTTAGGCATCATCCGGCATTAGTGATGAGGATTTTGTCTCCTATGTGAGCAAGTGGAGGGAGGCTGGTGCCTCTCTTATTGGGGGATGCTGCAGGACGACTCCTAGAACTATCAGAGGCATAGCTGAAGCATTGTCCAAGGTTCAACCAGTTCCTTAAGATGCCTTAGCATAAGATCGAGAAAATTTCTAGGAGTTGAACATATGAATTAACTCTTGAGCTAAATCAATAAAAATATGCTATGTCTATTTCATTCTGACTAACACCTCAGGCGTAGAAATTTCTATTTATTGTTTCTAGATTTTTTTTTTTGCTATTATGCAAAATAAATATGTTAATAGCTGCATACTACTGTAATATTTCACACTTTAAATTATGTTTTTATTGGTTGGTATTATTTGATACTTCTTATGAACGTGTTTCCAGATTCGCTTCTTTTAGCTTACTATGGTATCACATTGATATTTTGTAGCTTCAAACATGAGAATATTGGTTGTTATTTGATAACTAATGTATATACCACATTTATAAGATTGTGAGTTTTCTGTATCTTTTTGTTGGGGTATTACTGTACTTGGTATTGTAACGGTAGGGTGCCTCTATTGGGCCCTCTCATACAACCTTTATGTATCTTTTCTATGTGTGTGTGTGTGTGTGTTTCTGCTACTGCATTCTCTTCTTTGTGTGACAAGCTTATTATGACTTATCATCCTAGTGCTAGTCTCGTTCACCTTTATGAATCCGAAGGCCTTTTACTAGATCAACTCTATCAACTTGCTTCTCTCATATTCAATCCCAGCGCCCCCAAATCATGCCTCAACTAGTGATCTCTACTCTATCTAGCGATTATGATATAAGGTGAAGCTAAAGAAGACTAAATAAAAATCATGTTTCAATTAGGGCTGTCAAAACGGCTCGTTGTTCGCGAACTGCTCGTGTTCGACTCGTTCGCTAAGTTAACGAGTCGTACACGAACAAAGATTTTTAAAAACGGTCCGTTCGTGTTCGGCTTGTTTTGGCTCGAAATACTACTCATTGAGTTATATGTACATATAAATATTTATATAATTGATAAGTACATTTTTTAAAAAAGTTTAATTGACTATAATGCTACAAAGATTTATAATCAATTAAGAGTATTAATTAATGAGATATGATAAAAATTATTAAATTAGATTCAAATGATGTTTAAGTATAAATAATAATTATTAAATCTTGTCCCAACCCTTAACAACTTATGGTTACGTGATTAAGATTGTCAAAAGAACTCTTTGTTCATGAACAGCTTGTGTTCTACTCGTTAAGCAAACGAGCCAAACACGAACACACTTTTTGAGCTCGAAATATAAACGACACGCTCGCTCGTGTTCGACTCGTTTACACCCCTAGTTTCAATAACTAGAGGCTTCTTTGTGATACTTGAGAGGTCTTTATTGAAGAATCATGTGACTTGCATGCTTTAGGATAATATGTGATACTCAATTCAATTCTATCTCATTTTTTAATGGTATATATAACTCTGATGGAAATAGTGTGTTTCATTATCTCGTGCAAAATGCGGCCATCAACATATTTGCTTTTATTCAGTGTTACTTCTTACCTTAATGCTATTAAGATTTATTATTGAATAGTAAATATGAACCTAAAGCCTCCACAAGAAGGAGGTGGGGGTTTGAATTGGATGTGCATCAACATTTTAGATCTTCTTTCGAAATTTCTTCTAGCTAAAAACCATGACAATCCAAACTCGCAGAAGTAAACAAATAATCAATCAATCAGTTATATATATATATATATATATATATATATTTGTTATCGCTTGCATCATCATTTAAAGCTGAATATCACTAAAGATCAACCACCTACCATCCTTGTTGAGAAGGTTCAATCCGATCCTCTTTCCAATATTGCAGTTCCACATGAAGAACACCTTACTATAGGTACAGTTCCAAATGTGTTGATATCACTTACTGTTATTGAAGAAGATTCACTTACATGCCAAGACACACGAGAGTGCTCCTTTGACCCAATAGAAAATCATCTGGTACAGCAAGTAGTTGTTTCTAATGTTCAACAACCTTCACATATCATGCACACTTCAGACCATTCTGCTGATCAGGTCAGCCAATCTTCGGATGAGGAATGACAGGTCTACACGAGGAGGAAGAAAAAGAACGGAGGACGACTCAAGCTGAGTCTAGGGAATCTATTGGATGATACATTAATTACTATTGACAATGACTCTCATCTGACCAATTTATTAGGTGGCTCCTTCCCCAGAACTAGAGGCAGAGACAAGACAAAATCGGGTTGCTCTCCAGCTACCTGATACTCTTATTTTGGCACTTTTTGGTTTTTTATTTAGATATCTTATGTTTTTTGCTGTATTTTCTCATTTTTGGAACCATTTGATTTGATGGTTTTTGTGTGGGCTGGGTGTCATGCTTGGGACCTTCCACAAAATCTATCTGTACCATACTTTTTATTTAATATATTAGTCTTTGGGCTTTCAATATATATATATATATATATATATATATATATATATATTTGTGAGCTCTCTTATTGCTGGTAAA